TATAGTAGACCCCCCCCATAACACTGTTGATAATTCCGTGTTATATGAATTTCGTGTTATATGAGTCACTTAAATTTTACAAATATGTGAGCCGTTCACAGCCCGGCACACGTATTTGTAAAATTTAAGTGACTCGTATAACATGGAATTATCAACAGTGTTATAGGGGGGGTCTACTGTACCATTCATTGCTGGTCTATTTGCATACCGGTTGACACATTTATTAATTATCATTGTTATATTTTATTATTTTTATGTGTTCCTTAAATTTACATTTATAAATATCTTTTTCGTAGTGTAGGACTTTAATATTATTTCTATCAATTTGGCAGTTACTATTTTTTATGTGGTTAAACCATGGGGAATTATTATGTTTTAGTCTTATGACAGCTTCATCTTTTATACGTAATTCTAATGTCCTTCCTGTTTCCCCTATGTATTCTTTCAGATTCTGACTGGTACAGTTTATCTTATAAACTGTACCAGTTTTTTTTTCAATTTATCAATTTTGGTTTTATGTTTTCCTATTTTATGAATAGTTTGTGAAATTTTATTAGTCAAAGATGGGGCCAAAATCACATATCTTTGTTTAAAAGTTTTGAACAGTTATCGTTAATATTAGTTATGTAAGGGAAGGCTTTATAATTTTTCCCCCTTTTTTATTTTTTATATTAAATCTGTTTTTGTAATATTGTGTGTGCCAAATTTTTAATATTTTTTTTGGATAACTATTGAGGATGAATTTATGATCTAATTTGTTTAATTCTATTTCATGTTCATTTTTGTTGGTTGTTCTTGTGTATATCTTTTTTAATTCCATTATATATGTATTCTTTTTAATAGTTATTGGGTTATGTGAATAATAACTGATTGTCTTATTAGCATTAGATGGTTTTTTGTATGTTTTAAATGAAAATTTCTTTTTTTCTTCTGTTATAGTGATATCCAAAAAATTAATTTTATTATATTTTTCTAATTCTATATCAAATTTTATATCTTGGTTTATATTATTTATTGTATTTAAAATTATCTTCTCATTTGTTATTTCATTATTAAAAATCAATAAGTAATCATCCACATACCTCATTACAGCTTTTACACCAGGAATGTTTTCTATTTTTTTATCTATATCTTTCATTACTATTTCAGCTAATTTTGGCCCCATCTTTGACCCCATACTAACACCATCTGTTTGTGTATAAAAATTGTTATAAGCTTCAAAATAATTTCTTTTATATGCAAATTTTATAAGGTCGATTAATGTTTGGTTTGTTTTTAATTGGATTAGGCTGTTTTCAATTAATTCTCATTTTATGTTTGGGTACATATTTTTTACGTCTAAACTTATTAATGTGTCCGTTTTTTCTTTTTTTCTTTTTTGAATTATATTAATAACTTCACCAGCATTTTCTATACTATTTGTGGATTCCTCAAAATTTTTTGTTTTTTAATATAATTTTCCAAATTGTACAATATGGAGTACCTGAAATCTACTATGGGTCTGTATTTTTCTTCTTTTTTGTGTGTTTTTAACTGTATATTTAGTGTTGGGATTCTATTATTTTTAAAATTTAAGTATATTATTTTTATCAATTTCCTTAATTTTATTATTCGAATACATATCTTTAACTATTTTTGTTAGATCTTTTTTAATTTTTTCATACAGATTATTATCTAACATGATATATTGTTCATTGTTAATTTGTTCTTTTGTTTTATTTTCTAAATCATTCTTACTTATTATTATGAGTTGTTTAGTTTTATCAGCTTTAATAATAGTTAAATTATTAGTTTTTAAAAAATTAATGGTCTTATTTAAATTTCTTTTATATCTATTTATTTTAAACTTGTTTTTTTGAGGTATATATTTCATGTCATGAATGGCAGAACCTATTAAATTAGTCTTCTTTTCCTTTTTTTATTGGCAAATCTTTAATAGTTTTATCTATACTAGTTATTAAGTCTATAGTTATTATTTTCGGATTGAAGAGACATTCACTATATCAACGTTAAAAACAGCTAAACCATCGGAAAATTCAGAATGACGTCTTTGGTTTCATTCTCATTCTCGCAGGTTCCAACATGTTCTTCTTTGCAGATTATGTGAACAAATCTGACCAATTCCTCAAAACCGCATTGATGATTGACATTGGTTGTCACGTGCTATGCCTGAAATTTCACGATATGTTGCAGCATTACAGACATTTTAACTGTGCTTAGAAGAGGTATGGAGGTGTCCTTTTTTGATGTTCTCCATCCAGGCATCTCGGTTGGTTCAAAATCAATCAAGCCCCAGCATGCCATTATTTTCATGAGATGACCTACATTAATAACTAGCAGACCCTGCCACGCGTTGCTGTGGCTCAAAAAGTATCTATTATAAATGTATAACACTTCCTCTATGGGGAGAATTTTTTGAAAAATCCCTTCTTAGTGTACTTTCTCTTGACGTACCCTATTAAAACTCAATCAAAAATGCAAAAAACTGCATCTAAAATAGTATAAATAGAAGCAGAGTTATTCATGGTAAGCCTTAATCCTGTCCATCTCCCCCAGTGGGTGGAATTTTGACACATATATTATATAAAAAACACGTGCGTATTTGAATGCAATGTTGTGTCAAAATTTCAAAGAAATCAGTTGGAACAAACGAATGTTACATTTTTATTTATATAGATAGATAGATGATGATCTGCTTTACTTCATCCTCACATAAAAGCATAATGCCTCACAGAAAAGCAAACTTAGGTCGTCGTACTTGCAGAGTTAGCGCCATCTGTTGGACATAAAAGCCTTAAAAATAATTGCAGAAGAGTAGCCTGATGTAATCCAGTAGTTGTTTGGCTTATTACAGATATATTGGGTTTTGAGATGTTTGTATATGATGTCCAAATCAGATTTACATAAAATCTAGTCTAAGAACTTTTCACTTAATTAAACTTATATCTCCTAATCAACAAAGTAGACTCTTTCCCTCACTAAAAATAATAATGGTCCTGTTGTGTACCTTGACTTCTCTAAGAAGTCACCCTTTATTTGATTGTGAATTTGGCAGTTTTAGTGAAGTTGGTGTCTCAAAAAAATTGATAACATTGTGATGGAGAAAAAATAAATTTATTTCATAAATTAGGCACTATACTGCAATACACTAAGGGCACGTTTGGAAATTGTAACCGGTAACTCTGGTATCTGCCGATAGTTACCAAGGCGTTCAGAAAATGTGATTTAAATAACTAACCGCGTTTTGAAATCACTGTTATGACGTCACCGGTTGTCCTGCGGTACTTACCAAAGTTACCCAGGTGTCGAAGCGGTTCTATTAAATTACAAAATGGCAGACACAGTGTATCGTTGTGGAGATTGCGGCCGAGAATTTAAAAGTTTGGATGAAATAAAACAGCATTTTGCTTCGGAACATGTTTTTGCCCCACAAACTGATCAACAAAATTCTCAAAAGCCAATTTCGTCCCAAAATTCAGCTTTAACGGATGGGACAGACGGACAGCATTGTCGTTGGTCAGCAAATGCTGTGAAGTTACTGATATCACTATATAAAGAACATGAAAATAAATTTTCCGATATTTGTTGGCCAAGCAAGAAGGTATGTAAATATTTATTTATTCTTTTTCGAATAGTTAAAGAAATTACTTATTTATTAGAAGTCCTCACTCATAACGTCTAACACTTAATTGTTTAACAATTAATCCATATAGTTTTTCATATAAGATATCGATAAAAGAGAAACATCTCGGTTATTAAAAACATTCTATCAGAACAGTTTAGAGCAGAGAGAAAAATATTAATTTATCATGACCAGTACTACAATATTGCTGGCTAATATCTAGTACTGTACAGTACAATAGAGCAATGCAACACAGATAGTCTATGTACATTTCAAGTCTGAAAAGGGATTTTTTTTTTACAAAAGAATTATTACAGTCTGTCCCCAAATGATAGAGCCATTTTATAGTAGTGACATAATATAAATAGTAAACAAAACTTAATATGATAAACCAATAATCAATCCTCTATGTAATAATTTCATTAAAAAATATTAAAATGAAGATATAAACCAATCTTGATAATGTTGTACAGGATATACTTGCCCTATAATGATATTCATCTTTACTTCAGCATTTAAATTGCAATTGTTATGAAAAATAGTACACTGGGTGGTATAAAATATAAAATAATAGAGTGAATTTATGTAAGAATAGAAAGTAATGAAAATAGTCATTCTTAAAATATAAATATTTAATTATTAAATTCTGTGGGATATACTTGCCCTATAATGATATTCATTTTTACTTCANTTGTGACAAACATGCTCTTTTGTTGATAAATAAAAACTTTCTAAATTTAAAATATTATATATATAGAATATGTACATTCAGTACTTTTAATTTGGGAACTATATTTTTAAACTTAAAATCAGCTGTTTTTTGTTTTAATACTTAAATTTTCCTTATTTTTGAGAATCATATTCAAGAGTGTAGTTTAGACTGGCAAAATTTTATCATATTCAAGAGTTTAATTTTAACACTCTTATAAATTTCCATATAGTAAGGTTTTTTTCTTTATTTAATGATATTTAACTAAATTTCTTTTCAGAAAATGTGAAAAAACTTGATTACTAAATACTTTTAGAAGTTTACAATCAAGTTTTATTTTTAGAAATTTGATTAAGCAATGACCTGTAACTATGAAAACTTAAATATTTTGCTATTAAAATTACTTAGCACGATTGTAGTTAGTAAATTACTATTGCTATTTTTATCTGTTTAATAACATATTATAATTGCTAGAAATTTTAAAAAGATATATATTGGTATTGTTTATTTCATTTATGTAAAAGGATTATAACCTTGCCATGAGCATGATGTAATCTCTGTTTTATCTGAATCAATTTCCAAAAATATCCCTACTATTATGATAAGGAATTTACTTGCCATTGTTGTATCTATTTTTACTCCTTATATAATGAAATGACGTGTGTAGCTTTCATGTCTTGCCAATAGCAAAATTTGCATATAATAACCATATCAAAATGAACTCAGCAAATATTGTATGATTCTCTGTCCTGCATTATTACAACTTTTTGAATTGTGTGGCTGTTTTCTGTATATTTTAGTATCTGAACTATTACCAACAGTGTGACATTAAATGTAAAGCTACCATATCTAGTCTTATTCAAATCCAGCATAAAATTCTCAATTTTTTTTTTCTTTCTTTTGATGAAAACCCATGTCTTTATTTTTAATGCCTGTTTTTATTTCATAATTAAGTGATGGTCTAAGTCCTCAGACTACATCTTTTTAATACTCTACAACATGATGTATCTTTTATAGTTTGTCTTCTTCTCAATATAATCTTAAAAACCAATCTATTGAAAACCTATGTAATATTTTTTCCTGCTACATTTTCTGAGTCGTCATTGTTTACTTGTTTCAGGCTAGCAAATTTCTTGCTTAGATTGTAAAGAATCTAAATATAATTTTTGATCCAAAACTTACTTTAACAATCATATTTAATACTTTGTTAAAATCCTTTCGATTAGGAGAGGGGTGCTTTGGTATAAATGCAAATTTATATCCTACTAGCTGTTATCTGCAACTTCGCCCGCATGGATTTTGCAAGCAACACCATTTATATTCAGTAGAAGTTCAGACATGTATCTCGCTGACCAACGCGACTGCCCCGTGCGGTTACCTATCTCGTATAAGTATGCATCTTGCCCCTTGTCACCCATTGACACCAAAAACATAACGCTTACCTAGATGATATCTTTTAATTTATATGAATGTTTAATGGAATAATATACAGCCTATGCCATCCTGAAATTCCATTCTAAATATTGGTTAAAGAATTTTTGAAATCGGATGTGTAGTTTCAGAGATTACCTCCTGCATCCAAACTTTACCTCTTTATTATAATAGTATAGATTTAAAGATATTTTAATGTTTTGTAGATGTCGAATCCTACAACAAAAGATTGACGGTTGAGATCATTTTAATAGCATTTGTCAGTCGTTTTATGAAGTTATTTTGCTTCAAGTTGCCTACTGTTTTATTTCCTGAATGGAATGATAAAGGATTTAAAGGATTAACATTATTGTCTTTATTTTTCAAATGAAAATAATCCTGGGCTCATATAATTATATTATTAATCTAGAAGTGGCAACAGTGTTGTCGGCTTGAGAGATTAATCCTTCAGCATAGTGTGTTCTCCTTTGCAAAGGATTTTCTTAGAAAACAGTTAAAAATGTAGGGATGTTTATAATAATCATTTTTAATTTCCGTAGAAGGAAATACAACTCTGAAGAACTACATTTTGTCTAACAACGACAATATAGAATGAGTACAACTTTCAACTTTCGTAGAGAGATTTTTTTAAGTGCATAAAGATTTTTTACATACGTGAAAGGAATTTTTGTTTTCTATAACCTAACACTGAGCGGCAGCTGCGGTTTTGAGTCCCACTCATAGCAGACTATTTTCTTCCAGAAAATTTTACTCCGATAGTCCGGCAGGTTGTTTGGCTTTAAAATCACTTTTGATTGTTCTCACATCTTCCTAATTAAGCATGTGGAAATGACCTGAAATATGAGGATACTTCAGAAAACAGTGACTCCGAGGCCTATCTTTAACATAATATACTTTAGTTTCTTCCTGTACTGAGTTGACTCAAAAAAAAGGTACAAGGACAACATATTAGCTATAAAAATACATTTATTTATATAAATACTTTGTCAATATATTAAAAAATAGTAACTAAATTTGATCTTTATTATCAACAGTAACAAGTACTTAGGTCAAAACTTTATTAGTCTTAATGTAATCCAACCAACTGGCATAGTTTGCTTCAATTATTAAGGCACATAAATCGCGAGGCTTCTTGTCGTTAGAGTTCCTGCAAGTAGTAATCGAATTCAAAAAATCTTCATGCATGGACGGAGTGTACACGTTATAAATTGGAGATGGAAACGGGGTCATCGTAGACAAGCAATAGTTTGCCAACAGTCGGCAGAGACGGCCGTTCCCGTCCCCAAATGGATGCAAAGATATCAAAGTGAACAACAGATATGAACTAAGTTTGAAAATTTGACTAACGAACAAGTGAAGGTTCTGTTTCTTTTGTTTCGAGATCTCACTGAAAAGTTCGTTATAACGATCGAGGCAAAGTTGAACGGCATCCCTCGCTTCTTCTTGAGATCCAAAACGGGGATAAAAATGTACCTCTCCATTATACTCTGCACTTCGAAGGAACTGTGAGAACTTCCCGGCAGGAGTCATCAGTTGATCATCCAGACCTGTCAGCAATATACGGTGGATTCCTAAGATGCATTCATCTATTTCCAGGAGTCCTTTACAATCATCCTTTTCCTCGTTCACTCTATTTTGAAGCGTCAAAACAGCTTTGGCAACATTGGCAGTTTCAACTTCTTTTCTCGAAGTTAGACGAATCGGATTGTTGTCGGCTGCCATTACCTTCGAGATGATATCTTTGGTTTTATTCTCATTCTCGTAGGTTCCAACGTGTTCTTCTTTGCAGATGATTTGAACAAATCTGACCAATTCCTCAAAACTGCATTGATGATTGACGTTGGTTGTCATGTACTTTGCCTGGAACTTCACGATTTGTTGCAGCATTACAGATGTTTTAAGTGTGCTTATAACAGGTGTGGAGTTTTCCTTTTTTGATGTCCTCCATCCAGGCATTTCGGTCGGTTCAAAATCAATCAAACTCCAGCATGCCATTTTCGTGAGATGACCTATATTAATAATAAAAAAGAAAATCAATTTCTATCAAATGCATATATTGATATTACACAACATTCATGTACTGTACATTCAGTATGCCTTTTATGTCATTGTATACTGTAAAGTTTGGTTATTTTGATCCAGACTGCAAAAGTAAATTGAGTTTAAGATTATATTTATAAAATAGAATATATTATTCTTGTCTTTTAATTCGTATTATACTGAGTGTGTACTCTACAGGCCTTTTTCAAAAGTGCACAGTTTTTCATCACTTATTCTATTCTTTCCATTATAAGATTTGGGAAAATTGTGCACTTTTAAAATTCTGTTTAGAGTAAGGTTTTATCAAAACCTAGGGTATTTTTTTTACAGTCCTTTGGAGCATATAGCTCCTCATCCTCTGCAGCAAGACATCTATAATACACTTAATTTGAAAACCTTTCAGGATTGAGCTTTTCAAAGCTGCCTCAATCCACTTTACTTTTTCAGGATAAGTTAATTTTGTTGTTTTGAGGGCTTTGAAATCTCTTCCAGATCTTGAGCAGTGACACAGATTGATTTAAACTTATTAAGCATATCAATATAAACCTTATTATTCTCAGCACCTGAAAAGTTATGAAAACCCTCTGAATTATCACACACACTGTTCATATTCGGTTCAGTCTTCTTAGCCTCACTATTTATTTTCTTTTCTAAAATGTGTGAATCAGATTGTAAAAAGGTATAATGTTGAGTAACTCAATACAAAAAAAATATAAAAATATAATTAGTAAATTAGAAAAGTCATATAAAAAAGAACGTAATGAACATAATGCTTTGGCAAAGAAGTATAATGAGAAACAAAAAGAAGCAAAAGTTAGCATTCCAGTAATATCATTAATTAACTTTGAAAGACAATAAAACACTTAAACCACACGAATGTGTTCAATTAATGAACGAAATTGCTGTAGATGAAGAATTAGATGAAAAATTTTAAAAAATTTCTATTCCTGAGGATTATAAATACAAAGTTAGCAGATCTTATGTAAAACTAGCTTATCCGTCGCGCATTGCTGTGATCTCAGAAGAAAGGAAATTCAAGCAAACTCGTTATGATAAAATTCAATTCACATTTTATCATTTTGGGTTAAAGTCCAGTTATGTGGACTGTCATGGCGGCACTTCCTGTTTTCCGACTGCCAGCCTCGACACCGGAGCGGTTTGGAGACGACAGATGTCACGTGACGA